AAACTAGGGATTGGACAGTTTTTCAGTGCTTGTACAATTGATGGAAATGTTCAAATAAATGTGCTAAAGAAATAAACAAAAAAAGTTATTTATTCCTTTATCATATTGGCTAGCTAATGTCCTCTCTTTGCTAGTTACTTGTGGCTGTGTTTTTGCGTTGCATAGCAATAAGGGACTATATTCTCAGGTGGAGGAACGTGAACAGCTTAATTTTCGTGTTAAATAATTTTTTTAATTAAAATTCATTCTATACAGCAATTGCATATTTGGGGACCGTTTTATAAATTTTTGATGCTTAAAATGTTTAGGGAGAAATGGAATACTGGTGTGTATTTTTTCTTTAAAGTACAGAGACCAGCCATATACAGTTTACATAATATGTTTATGTTCCAAAATTAATATTGTTTATGGCCTTCGGATGCTTTATGCTCCTATTCTTTTTATGCTCAGCTACTAAAATTTCCCTTCAGTGGTAAAATTCCATATACATATTCATACTTAGCAGATTAAAACATGCATAACAAAGACATTAAATGATTTAGTCTTTCCACGACCGACCAACGTGCCAAGAGTGCCCCTGTTGGTTATTTTGGCCAGCCAATCACGTACCGTGTTATGACGCGTTATGACGCATTATGACGTAGGGAAATGACTGCGGTATGTGTTTGTACCACGCACTTTGAATGGCTGCATCTGTACTTGCCTTTGAGTATCTAGTGTAGAAGTTGTAATCAAAGTTAATTTGCGAAATGGTATAAATGAATGGTATACTAAATGTATGTCCCTCTTAGTTTGTAACTCTTTGTTATTGAATATATACTTTTTGTATTCTGCTAACCCTCACTCTTAAGATCTGTTATGTTTATATGCACATTTTATGTATTAATAAATGTATTCTCATGTATTAGTATCCATGTGTGTGTTGCTGAATTATCCCGCAATTAATAATTGTCCCAGTAAATGCACAGTATTCATTTGTATATCACATTACAACAGTCATTAGAGTGACTAGTGAGCAGGAAGGGACACTTCACATCACAATTTGTGCATATTGGTTCTCTTGCCCCTGGCGAGACCAGGAGTTCGTGACAAAATAAAGTATTATGGTTTACTGCATTTGTCAGAACAAATGTCTCAAAATAATGCATTCGAGAAGTTCCATCCTCTGTGTTCCTTAAGTGGTTCTTACGCTTCTTCTTTTGTCCTGGCTGGCCTGAACAGCGTCAGCTGTCAGGTAGTAGGGGGAGTTGATGCTGGAGCCATCCTCAGAAGCTCTCTGTAGAGTCCCTGGTGTCCTCTTCTTGTTCTAATACTGTAATTTGTCCTGTCCAATACAGAAATCTTCCTTTGCCAAAAAGCCCAGGTTTCTCTGACTGGGGCTTCCTAATAGCCTGATTCCCTGGGGGGTGGAACTATCCCTGCAATGCTTTGCATGTGGGCAGAGCTAATTGCCCAAGGCTCATTCAGGAAGTGTACACAGATGGTCAGAGATGCGCTATACTATTGCATCTTGTCCTTAGCCCCCCCCCCCAGTCACAAGTACAGTCAAACCTCCTTAGTAATTCCAACATCACCTAGAATTGTGTGATAATTTCCCAGTGTCTTTGCTAAGATGGCCTTTGATCAGGGTAGGAAACACAGAGCATAAGGAGTGAAACTGCATCAATCTAGGATGTCGCTAGCCCATCAATGCAATTTAACATCTTTTAACAAATTAAACTAATTAAATTTGAGAATATTTATTGTTTCAGTGTTCTCTATGTCTCACTGGAAAGTGATTCTACATTATTGTCTTGATGGTACTGCTCTTCCTATTTTGAAGACAGGGGAGTGTGGTGGCTACCTTCAGAGTCTGTTTTACACAATCTGTGTCTTCTGAGGAGGTGAAATGTGAGCTTGTTAAAGGAATAGAGACAAACCAAGGAGGCATTCTTGGGGATTTTGTGATCGACACACAAAGTGTACATTTTGGAAGTAAGTCTTTCATTCAAGTTATTATATACAAACCTTCTGTTGTAAAGTAACATTGGTTACTGAGGTAAGTAAAAGGCACATTCTGGTAAATAATTGAAATATTGACATTGACACATGTATTGCAAATAAACATTTATGATGACTAACTTTCTTAATTAAAAGTCTTCATTCAAAAAGCAGCGTTATTGCAATTAAAAGACATTAATAACAGTTATCAGAAATGTCATCATGACCATGTAAGAGCATAAAAGTAATTTGGCAAATCTGTTAAATCCATTCTGCATTAAAAAAATCAGGAACAAAGTGATGCAATAGTGTCATTGGTAGGATCTCTGCATTGTATACATCATAAATAAGGCAGAAACATTGTGATTTCCACATATAAATACTTCAGGAGCAAATGTATGGATAAGAGTTTTTAATGTCTGGTTCAAATGTTGTAAAAACAGAAATAAAAACTTGTTTTTCCTGAAATCCTATTTTTTTAAATATGCTGGCCTCAACCCAGGTTTATCACACCTTGAGTCAAATTTGAAAGAAAATTGAAAATTCTTTCAGAATGCAAAGAAAAACATTTTTGTTTTTTTTCAATACCGAAGAGGACTGTCCCACATAGCCATACATACTGACAAATCCACTATGTAATCTTTAGTGTCAAAAGAGATTCCAGTACCATAAAAATACCTATATTTCTTCTTCACAGCATATTTTTCCTTAATTGAACTGTCTGGTGATGGAGGACAGCTTGTCATTCCCCACTGTTTTCTGGATCTTGTCTCCACCTACAGCTCTCTTACAGGGACAGGAGAATAATAAAATAGGAAAAAAATAAAGGGGCTGAAGTTGTTATTATCACAGTTCTTAATAATAAACTGTAACACAACCTCTTGTTCAGCCATCCATTTTCTAACCACTTCATCTAATTGAGTGTAGTGGGGGAGCCAGAGCCTCAGAAAGCAACAGGTGCAAGGCAGGGTTTACGCTGAACAGGGCACAGATCACACTGCACACACTCATGCTAGCACCAGGGCCAATTTTCTTAGAAGCCAAATAATCTACAGTACCAGTATGTCTTTGGACTGTGGAAGGAAACTATCAAAAAAACATGTGAACACAACTTACCATACAAGCCCCACATAAGTAGCACCCCACCTCCAAAATTGAACCCAGGAACCCAGCACTGCAAGTCAGCCAAGTTAATCACTGCACCACTAAAATTATCATGATAATTATATTGCAAAATATATTTATTTTAGGACCCATTTTGAAAAATAATAAATAAAAACATAAACAACAAAAACTTTCACATGATTTTAAGCATGGGAATATTATTTATGGTTATTTCAGTACAGTGCTTGCCTGGTTATAAACCCTGCTATGACAGCACTACGTGTGTTGCCAAATCATCTTTTTGTGATGGGATAAACAACTGTCCTGATGGCTCAGATGAGGATGAGAAATACTGTGGTAAGTTCATAACATTTGTTTTTTTAAGTGAATAAAAGGAATAAAAAGCTTTGTGTTTTTTCATTGAAAGAAGACAGAGGTGCAAAAATCACGATGATATGATACAGCATAATAGAAACCACAAAAATAATAAATGTATTATGTGTATTAACACTAAAAATGATATAAGAGCAGTAAAAATAGTCAGGCTAAATCAGTTAACATGGTAGACTGAGGCTGTAAGTGAGGTACGTTTTCGTTAAAAATTGGGCATCACTCCCGAGAACATAAAGGTTTAAAGTGATAGAAGACTATCTTATCTACTGTAACTCCTTTTGTGCTAGTAACTGAAAGAAGCTAGGATATTAGCTCCAACAACATGGCATCTACAGCCCTTTTAATAAGGGAGTGTCTGAAGTTGTGTTGATCTGTATCTTGGAAAATGGTCTTGAAATGGTCTTGGAAGACGGTTTTGATAGTTGGACTTGAACCCCTTTACTTGCACAAAGGTTTTTTTCAAGAATTCTACTTAAAGAAATCAGTGTGTGATATGCATGAGACACTGTCAAAAGTATTTAAAAAAAACTTTTGAGTCAGCTTTGATGCAGTAAAAAGTCCATCTTATTTTCTAATTTAAGAATACTCACCAACAGAAAACATAAAACCTGAGGGGTCTCTGCTACTTATAACAGATACAGATGCAGCCATTCAAAACAAGCGGGGTACGGTTCAGTACAATGCGGTGGGCGTGTCACATCAAAATGCGTCAAGTGCATAATTTCGCTTCATACCGCACCTTACCACATGCAAATTAGATTATGTTAATAGTGTCTGGAATCACTTTGTAAAACCGCATTGTGGAGCTAGTAAAGCTTAACCTCTCCTGTACAGCATTTGATCTGTCACCAGAAAATACCCAGTTTCAAATCCTGATCACTGCTGAGGGACAATCTTTATTCAAGTAAGGATTTAAGTTGTATACTTTTTAGCTATTTTAGCATACTATTACAGCATGTTAATCATTATACATTAAAAAGATGGTGTATTTTATGAACACAAGATTGCTCATTTGGACAAAACTACACAACCTACCACCTTTATCATAAATATTTTATATATGCAGAAATATGTTAAGTATCAAAGTCTTTACCGAAGATAGTACTAATAGTATAAATAATGAATGACCTTGGACAAGCTGTAAACTCAAAGTATTACCCTGGTCCACATTCTTTGTAACCGTCTTTGTAAAAAAAAAATACTTTATTTTTTCATTGACAAAAAGTAACACCACAGCATTTCGTTGATCCAATCCCTCAGCAATGATCGGGGTTCAAAACCAAGTGTTTTCTGGTGACAGCTCATGCTGTACATGAGAGGTTAAGCTTTATTAGCTCCACCTGGCGGTTTTACAAGGTGATTCTGGATACTATTAATATAATCTAATTTCCATGCAGTAAAATGCGGTATGGCGCGAAATGATGCGACACGCCTGCATCTTACCCCGTTTGTTTTGAATGGCTGCAACTGTATTTTTACTATATTATCGCACAGTATAGCTTTTAACATTTTCAGCCCTATCCCTATCCGTGCCATAGTAAACTACAGCTTATTTACATGTATTAAGTATAAGCTGTTTAGTCTTTGGTTTGTTCTCAAAGACGTCAGGAAAAAAGAAGAAACTCACCAGAATAAAACTGCATTCAGTAATTCAGATGCAGTTCAGAAGGACAACTGGCTGCTGTTTTTTACGAGACAAAGTTAATGACTGGGGAAAAGTGAGAAAGCTCATTCTTTAGGGATTGTGATGACTCAGGCTGGAAAAAATGTAACAGGAACTTTAAAATAGGCACAAGAAAACACACAAATTCAGCCATAAAATATAAAGCAAGTTATCTTTTTTTTTACAGTGAAAGACAATTAAACAATCATCAAAAACAAAAAAGCTTAAGCTCCATTTTGAACTGCTAGATGACTTCTAGCAGTACATCTCTTCTCAGCCAGGCAGCTAAACTGCTTCCCAGCTTTAAAAATAAAACCTTCTACACCTGGGACTACACTCAAAATATGCTTTCAAAAGTATTCAGTCACCGGTTCCTTTATTCTTCAGTCAGTCACTTCATTCTTCCTTCCCTCTGGGGCTTTTACAATACAGCCGAACTGCCCTGTCTTCATGAAAAGAGATATACCTAAATAATTACCTGACCAGTCTTCCAGAAACTAGTCAAGTGACCAAGGCTATTTTCCTTTTCTCAACTTATGCTGTAATAAAACCATCACCTCACTTTGCTTTAGATGGTGCTGAGAATTGTCCATCTTGACTTTCTGTTCTCTGGGGTTTCCTCAGCTGTTCACTCCTGTCATCCAAAAGATCTTATATCCAAATTAGATCATCCAAATAAGATCTGCTACTGGTCTGGTTGGAGGGGCCCACTCTTCTTCAAAACATTAGTCCATTGAGTACACTACTAAAACAATCCTATATTGACCTGAATTCATCCACAAACGTAAATGTGGGAAACAATTATGACGCATCTTAACTTTTTTTAAGAGTGTATATGTAACCTATACTATAAATGGTCGGTTTCTGGAAATATGCGGCAGATTGTTGTAGATCATTCCCATACAACTAAATGCAAGTTGCACAAGATTTTGGTTCAAGGATGTGACAACATTGTAGCTGGAGCAAAGGTGGTGGATTTTCACAGAAAAAAATCTTTAAATGCATATTGTACAGCTGATTTTGGAATTTACCATATAATCAAAATGAATAAACAGAAACTGTCGCCAAAGCATTATGTTATATTGAGAATTATTTTTAGTTTAAAATCTCTCTAAGAAGCACCCAAAATATGACAAAATATGTTAAAAAAATGTGACACAACAATGGCATTTGAGTATCTTTCATCACTCAGAATGTAATTGAGAGTTGTGTCTGCTGTTAATACAAGCTCTGTGCAAATCAGCTCCGGTTTCACTCAGTTACGCCTTGCCTACTGTGTAAAATGTGTTACCAGTGTAACTGATATGGACAACAATAGTAGTACGCCTTTTAATAGTACAGCCTATTTTATAAGGTAAATAATGTAATTTAAATTCACCACCCCCATAGGTAGCCTAAATATAAAATGCTGACCAAGTCACTGCTGACTAGGGCTCACTTGAACCTGAAGACTTTTATAAAAATAACTTTCAAACTAATTCAGATCCACAAGTTCCATTGTCAGTTCCCTCCTTCTCACTGGTGATATTTTGCTCTAAATAGCTTCTACCTGCAAAAAGCCTGTACGTTTTTTTTTTGACAATTTTTAAATTGTCATCTGGTCAATTTTCCAGCAGGTCAGTTAAATCCAGCAGCTCTTTGACTTTGATTTTTTAAATTAATTCCACACAAAATTCTGTGGAATGGGGTCTAGAAAATGGAACATGCTTCCGTCTTAAATATAAATGATTTTATCGAATTTTTGTGCTTTGGCACATAAAGAAACAGTTTTAAACAAGTGCTTTGCGAAAGCATATTCAATGTTTAAAGAATAACTTTCTCTCCTTAGCAACACTGTGTGATGGACAATTCCTTCTCAAAGGAATGACAGGCTCCTTCCATTCCATTAACTTCCCTTCAGCATATGAACCTGATATTTTCTGCAGATGGATAATACGGTATGAGATACTTTATATTTAAATTTCCATCCTTCTTTTTCTTAACCTCTTATTCCACTTCAGGGGCACTGGGAGAGCTGAAATCTATCCCAGCATGTAAACGGAGCAAGGCAAGGTACACCCTGGATGGGATGCCAGTCTATTGCAGGGTATACACCCATACACAAACACAGACACACACACACACTCATGCCTAGGAAGAATTGTCCCAGAAGAAGCAGCCAGAGGAACCCCACTTGAAGACATAAAAGTGTCCTGCCATATCTGGGAGGGACAGAGTTCCCACATAGTGAAGCCAGTGAGAGATGCATCACTCCTCCAAACTGTACTGACTATCCTTTAAACTTAAAGCAATGTGAACATCAAATAAATTAAAATGGCTCTGACTAGTTAGTGTTCTAGAGGAGTACATTCATTCTCCCTGAATGGTAAAGTAGCTTTATTAGCAAGCTATATTGATAAATAAATTATTTAGACTAGGTAGGTATAAAATAGATTTATGTCTGTGTCCTTGAATTCGACTATTAAATTCAAGCATACATAGGTTACAGCTGTTCACGTCAAAACTTCACTTTTTATTTAATCACGGCAATGTTGTGATATTAAAGAGAAATCAATTAATAAACAATTATTTTAAAAACACTACAAAGACAACATTTCATTACTTAACACCTTAAGTTACAAAATATCACATTTTGAAAGCAGGAAGTCCAGGGGTCCACATATTGCTTATATATCTGAATTTTATCACAGTAATAGCACAACAAAGTTATCTATTTAGTTAGGGTGGTATAATTTTGTATCTTGAATAAGTCTTGAATAAGAATGTGTTGTCTTTGCAGTGTTCAGGATGGGTTCTCTATTAAATTAGTTTTTCCCTCATTTCAAACTGAAGAAATCACAGATGTTCTGAGACTTTACGAAGGAATTGGAGAAAAGAAAATCTTGAGCAGTAAGTTTTTTTAATATTATTGCAGCAGAATTCAATTAACAAGCACACTTTGTGAACTTCCAAAAAACTCATGATTAGTGTTGTAGTTTAATCATTGTTGAAGTGGGATGACCTTTCAGTACGCTCTAAAGGAGATGGCACTTGCCAATAGTTCCTAAGAACTATAAATAACTGTACTAAACTTAATTAGCATTACTTATTTCAGTTTATACTGTTACAAATAAGAGGTTATGAAAACTTGTAAAGTCTACACTCATATGTGTTCCAGGCTCTCTGTCAGGCTCATCACCAGGAACAGTGAGAATATTCGCTCATGAGGTGACAGCTGAATTTAATTCGGATTTCATCAATAACTTTAGAGGATTCAAAGCAACCTATGAAGCAGAAAACAACAACAATCTTTCTAGTAAGTAGTTATTTGAACTTAACGGAAATAATTAAAACATCTTCATAGTTATTGTTTTTCAAATGTGGAATTGGTTAAAGTTTTATACAATTATAGGATTATGGGCAGTAAGCCTCCAAGCATCCAGTGTGCTTTGTCATTGTCTGCTTCTCATTGAACCCAACCCTGGGCTGAGCCCAATTTATACTGCATATAGTGTTTAGCAATGCGGCAGTTAGAGGGGCCACGGCGAACACCTGTATGAGTGACACCCCATCTGAGGTGAGGTTAATGAAAACCAAAAGAAAAAACAAAAGGGAAAAATAAAAAAATGGCACCCCACCTGGACTTACCCTATCTAATGGGGTTCAGCCTGGAAAAAGAATCCTGATTGGCAGTGGGGACTGGACTGGACTTGCTCTATTTAGTAGGGTGCAATCTGGGAGAGTAGGCAGGGAGCACAAGGCCAAAAATAAAAACTAAATTTGGAAAAAGTTAAGCCTACCCCAGAAGAAGAATGAAGACGAAGAAAAAAAAAGAAGAATGGTCTCATGCTCAGGTACAAACCCCGCCAGGATTGCCGATATAGGGATCCTCTCCTTTCAGGGATATGCCCTGCTCGTCCTCTTTGGGGGTATCCAGTGTCCATAAAGGCTCTATCCCTTATAGAGCCCTCACAGCTTAAGCTCATCTTTGATTAGCGCGTGCAGCTGTGATTATAAAGGTGAGGCGTTGCCCTTCCTGGAGGGCACTGCCTCCACACTGAACACGCCCCTCGCATGTACTGCAACACTTGCTTGAAGGAGGTGCACAGAAGGAGGAGTAATACAATTCATCATACTAGGACCAGCCAGCTAAAATTAAAACAGCTTTACATGTTTGAATTCAGGTACAGTTACAGGTACAGGAAGAATACAGGTCTAACAGTTATACATTCTTGTTATAACTATATTTCAGATATGGAAAGAATCAATTGTTCCTTTGAAGAAGGTATGTGCTACTGGAAACAGAAACCCATGGATGATGGAGAATGGAAGAGAGTCAATGGACCAACATTTCCACCACTTTCTGGACCCATCTTTGATCACACTTTTGGGGATCCATCCGGTAAATGTGACTGAAACTGTTTGACCCAGTAAAATGAATTACAAATCGTTTATTGGAGATCTCCCATTCCAGAAATTGATTGGTTACAGGTTCAAGTTAGTCTTTAAAAGCCATGTCAATAATGATTCCCCTCAGTGGGACAATTGAATCCTACCATGTAGATATAGTATCTTGCAAAAGCATTAACCTCCTTCCAATAGTGTTTGATTGTATAGTACAAATGAAGTTATTCAAATTAGAACACTGAAGGAACATTTAAAACCAAATGTTGTTGAAAGACACAAATAAGGAGAAGGTTTTGCAAAATGTTTACAGTATAATTTACATGATGTACTCTGTTTCAAACTCCTTGCAGAATCTGAGATTGGTTTGCTCTTCTGCTTAACTATATTTTGGCCATATTTTCTCCCATCTTAGCCAATTAACTATTTCAAAGTTGTGGTTGGTCTCACTCTGGCATTCCTAACTATTCTATCCTTGTCTGACTGCTCAGTTTGGAAGAACAATCTGATCTAGGTACTGTAATGTATGTGTTAAAGTCTTAATCTACCCTTTGTTTCAGCTTCATTGATATCAACAGATCTATTATAACAATTACCAACTGTTTCAGGAACAGTTTTCATTCTAGAACAATATGAACTTCATTTTACAGTTTATGTAATGCTGTGTAATCCATTTCTTTTCTAATGCAAAAATTATTGTAGGTGTTATTACAGAATTACAATTATTTAATAGAAATACATCAAATTGGAATTTGTATAAATTACAATACATGCTGTACAAAAATGAGAAAAAAAACAGAAATGGCAAAACATAGTAATTAATTCCTAGCTAGTTTTTATGTAATGTAGTTATTAATAATCTAAAATTTAAAATGACATATTTATATAAAGAAATAAGCATGTTTGTGCATTTATAATAAACTTACTTCTTTTCTGTCCACATCTGCTACTGTATAACATTTGTAGCATTAGTCCAAAATTTTTGAAAATCCACTTTATCTTCCATTTTTAACGTAGAATCTCCCAAGATTATCTGATTTTGTCTTAGTCCAGAAGGAAAACAAAAATTTTTTCAATGTGTCAAAAATTTTGGCTACAGCTAAAAAGGATAGAATTAAAAAGTTAAATTATGTAAATTGGTGACTTTATGTATTGTAAACTAAGGTATTACTGGGGAAAATTAAATGGAAGATGTAACTTTAAATTCCAATATTTTAGTTACTGCATACCAAAAACTTAAAATCTTAGGACATGTAACAAATATGTGATTAAGATAACCTTTCAGTTTACTTGTATTTACAGTATTTACATCTGAAAAGCTCCTTGGGTATAAAATATCTTGAATGTGTTAATTTGTATTAGATTTAATATTATTTTGAGTTAAGAAAACACCAATTAATATATCTATGAGTCCAGTATTCCCCATCTTTTTTTTTTGTACTGACGTTCTGAGGATTGCCTGAAAAATTTATAAAATACAGATACAGGCTTCAATTTAAGTGTTTGGAATGGAAGCAGACTTTCAAAAACAATGTTGTTTGTGAGTTTCAGAAGAGCATTTTTATGTTTGAAGTCCTTAATCTCATTGGAATCATTTGGAATTGAGGAACATTTCTTGAGATGTTTTCGATGATACATCTTGGGGGAACCCTCTTTCAAGGAAGTAAAATGTAGTAATACCAATTTAAGGCTTTTATCATCCCAAGTATTTCAGTTGAAGACTTTAAAAAGTTTAAGTAAATGAACGTGGAGGGGTAGTTTGTTCAATAGGTATAAAAATTGCAGTTTAAGCCCTACCATAAAAAGATAAGGGTTGTTTACTCCAAATTTCCCATTTTCAATATTATTTATATGGGCAATAAAATTTGTTTTTTTTTCAAGTTTTGAAATGATTAGTCAGCTAAGGTTAAAATATTGAAATACGATTAAAACATTAAAAGTTTAAAATATTTAAAATATGTGAGGACATCTTTGTCTTGTACATCTCAGTATATTAAATGGTTCTGATTAATCTAATCTAATATTGGCACTAGGTGAATGGAACAATATTTAAAATCAGTTATGGAATATTTTACTAATATCTGTTCTTTGTAGTGAAAGGTGATTCTACTCTATTATTCGTTTTCTGAACATCCAGAAAGAGGGCCATAACTCGCTGAAAATTATCTTGGGAAGAAAACATAAGATATACAGTAATAATTGTTAAATGTTGTCTTAAGAATATCTACCTTTAATTAAGCTTTTGTGATCCTATTTAAAAGGTTATGGATTATTTTTGTAACCCGTGTGCAAATATTATTGCCTGAATTTTTCCATCAGTGTTAAGAATTGAAATAGGCCTTAAGTTACAGATGCAGCCATTCTAAATGCGTGGTAAAAACCCGTACCACGCAAAAGTATCTGCAGAATAGCCCGGAATACCACAGTATGTGATTGGCTGGCCCAAATGACCAACAGGTGTGGCACTTGTGGTGCATGGTTGTTAGTGAAACGACTGCTTCATATACAGTGCCTTGCGAAAGTATTCGGCCCCCTTGAACTTTTCAACCTTTTGCCACATTTCAGGCTTCAAACATAAAGATATAAATTTTTTATT